GAAATATGGAGTGGGCCCGAATCGCCGGGGCTGCCCGGGCCCCGTCCCCGGGCTGCAGGCGATTCCCGGCAGGATTGCCCGTCTCTGTCTGCCAAGGGTGTCGCGTGTGATAAATGAGCTCGTTTAGAAATGCAGATTTGAGTTTTGGCTACAAGTTTCATTCTGTGGAGCCAGAAATTGGGCGATGCTTCAGGAGGACAGCAGTAGATGGCAGATTTGGGATCATTAACGCGCTTTTCAAAACTCTCTGGCTCCCAGCCTTGCGTCGGAAACGCCTTACTGGCGGTTTGGGAACCCAGCAATTGTTTTTACTCTTGCTGATTCTCTGAAAGGGTCTTCTAATGTCCTGCAGCTCCACACGTGCAGCTGGAGTCCGCTGCTCCTCGGGATTGGGGTGTAGGGGGTGAAGCTGTGCCCCCAGTGAACCTCGTCGCAGAGCTACTGGTGTGATCCCGTGGGATTTCAGGCAGTGCCGAGTTCCTGGTTCCTGACATGGCACGACCCCCCATCCCCAATCCCCGAGGTGTGCCCTGCACCAGGGAGGTGACAGTGTGCTGTGCCAAGGGGCTGCCGGCGGGCACCATGCCCGCTGCTGAGGAGGGGCTGAGGGCTCCGTAAGGGCAATGCTTTGGTGAAGGGAAGCGCCTATCGCTGCTTGGGCAGTGCTGCCAGCCCAGGCCAGGGTGGGAGACCCTGTGAGGGCACCCAGCTGCAGTGGTGCAGCAGCGGGGAGGTTCTGCCCTGGCTGCCCTCGTGAGCAGCTTTTCCCCCGATCACGGCGGTGCTCCATCGCGTCCCGTCGGCATTTCCATCTCTGATGTCTTTGCCTGGGTCGGAGGGGAGATAAGACCCTTCTCCCAGAAGACAGATCCTTTTTGACTTAATCTAGGGGAAGAGATTTAGATCAGCCTGATTGCATTTAATTTGCCAAAACCACAATCCAATTACCAGCAGCCAAGGTCACCCACAGTTTTGCTCTCCCCCCTTCTGCTCCCGCTCCCCACTCCCTAGGGAGATGCTCTGGCTCCCAGAGCCGGGGTGCTGCGGCCACCCAGCTCTCCGGGGCACCCCCCGGTCCCTCGGGGCCGTGGCACCTGAGCCCCAGGGGACCCCAAGGACCAGCTTGGCGCTGGCTGCAGCCGCTGTGCCGGTGCTTTCTGGCGCCTGGCTGCTTCATTGCTATTCCCACTCTCCGTGGGAAGCACCGTGCCCATGCTCCCACCTCTCCCATAAGGAAGAAATCAGTGCCGTTCTGCTTACCGAGGTGCAAGGGGAAACAAAGCAGCTTCAAACTGTTCAAAAGTGACAGCAAACAACAAATCATCCTGTCAGAGAGTGAAAATAACCTCTGGAGTTGATCCTCCGCTGCCTCGTCCGTTGGAGCGGTGTTCGCTTCGCACCCATCACTGTACGTTGTTTCTCACGTGACGTCCGTGTCTGCATGTGTTCAGTTTTTAATCACGATTTTCACACCGACCGTTCGCTCACAGGGAAGTTGCCTATTATTGGGTGTTTTTATAGTTTGGATACTGAATTTACTCCTTTTTCTCCTCCCCAGTAAGAGATGCTAAAAACCTAGTTCCTATGGATCCTAATGGCTTGTCAGATCCCTACGTGAAGCTTAAACTAATCCCTGACCCCAAAAACGAAAGCAAACAGAAGACCAAAACCATCAAGTGCTCCCTGAATCCTGAGTGGAACGAGACGTTTAAATTGTAAGTACCGGAAAAATGTTTAAACTCGTGAACTAATTTTTCTCGCCCCTAAGAATTAATGTGATTGTGTTTGCTCTGATTTAATTATTCAGAGACGTTGAGCTGATTCAACTGAGAAATAATTCTTTTCGGTCCTGTAAGTGTGACTCAGAGATGCTCAAACCTCTGCCCTGACCCCTGATCAAAGCTGAGTGTTTCGGGCAGGAACTCTGCGTTCTCCATTTGAAACGGATGCAGTTGGGAAATTAAATATTAGAGCGTTGGACAGTCGTTGAAGATGATCCTTCAGTTTGCATCCAGGTTCTTATAGAGCGTGGAGGAGCGTGGTGGTGCAGCAACAGCTTCCAGAATCAAACCATCCCTTCTTCTCTCCTCTCTTCCAGCCAACTGAAAGAGGCAGACAAAGACAGGCGGTTGTCCGTGGAGATCTGGGACTGGGATCTGACCAGCAGGAAGGATTTCATGGGCTCCTTGTCCTTCGGGATCTCTGAGCTGCAGAAGTCGGGAGTCGATGGATGGTAAGGGTTGCAACTGCTTTAAAAACACCGTGGGTGCCAAAGCAGTCCTGGTCCTTTTGTACGTGGTGGAAGACGCGGCAGCCCGACGGGCTTTACCAGCACCCTCTGCTCAAGGACCACCCGTGGGTTTGGCCCCTGCGGAAGGTGCTGCTCCACCTCCCAGCTGGAGCTGCGGTGGGCTGCGGGGCGGCCCTGGGACGGGGTCTGAGTGCCCGGCGTGGGCTGGCTCTGCGCCACCTCCCCCGCATCCTCCTGCCCCTCGCTGGGGCTGGGGGGTTTCCCTGCTCCGGGGCTGCCCGGGGGGCTGGCGCTCACCGCGGGCACTGCTGCGTGGGCTTCGGGAGGAGACCGTGTTGCCTGCCAGCACAGCAAGCGTTTCCCAGCGTTTCCTGGTTGGGTTCCCTGCGTTTCTGTACTGGGGAGGCAAATGTGGCTTCGTCAGGTGAGCGGGAGAGCACGGAGGGGTGGGGGGACATGGCTGAACTGGGATTTGTGGGACACGGACGAGCAGAATGGGTGCTGAGGGGCACTGCTCAGCAAAAGGAGGAATGCTACCGAAGTGCGTAATTACCGCTGCTCGTTACCGCGCGAGATGAACGCAGAATGGGTCTCTTCATTTCCATTTTATCTCCCCCAGCAGGACATATGCCGCCTTATTTCCCTTTTTTTTTTTCTTTTTTTCCCCAGCTACTGGTGCCTGAGAGCTGGGTTACCTTTCCGTGCCAAGCGTAGTAATTGGAAATAGATATTACATGTCTTTTGGAAACCCAAACCTGCACGCTGTTAATTCGCATTCCGTGAGCTGAGCGACACCCCGGGCTCTGCCTTGCCCACCGCGGAAGCTTTGCGTGCCTCAAAGAGATGGAGAGGAGGAGGAGGAGCAGGTGGAGGGGCTGCCCTGCCCCTCGTGCACGGGGAGGGGGACTGGCGCCGTGGGGTTTTTTGGCAGGGCAGAGCTGGGGGTGCTCCCTGCTGCCATCCCACTGGTCCCACCCACCTTAGTGGGGATCTAAGGAATTTCCCTTGTCAGCACTGGCTGCAATGAACCCGAGGACGAGCTCTGATGTATATTTGATACCTAAACTGCAGCCAATGGAGAAAAGAAGCTCAAAGGGAGAGCCTGTCCCCTTGTGATGCCAACAGCGCCTTGTTGCTGGGGCTTTGGGGGTGACCCCTGGCTGATAACCCTCCTCCGCTGCCAGGAGGGCTGTGCCAGCGGAGCCGAGGCTTTGCCCGCAGCCGTGCAGAACGCCTCACATCTGAGTGACGTTTCCATGATTTCTGATAATTGCTGCTCAAACTTTTTTTCCTTTGTTTTGCTGAGCATCTTGGCTTTGTGCTTGAAGTTGTCGGCGCCAGTGTAGCACCGACATGTTCCGCGTGCTTTGCCTGTGGAGCCCAGCCTGCCCTGGCACCAGGGGCAGCCGGTGGGGAAGGAGCTTGCCCATGCGTGTGCCCGTGGCCGTCACGAGAAAGACGTGCTTTGTCTGTGGGTGTTTGGGTCAGGCTCAGTTTTGGAAGAGGCATCGGTGCTTTGGTGTCTGCCGCAGCGGGCGGTGGATGTGCTTTGTGGGTTGGGGTGGTTGGGGTCCCCAGTACGGCCAGGACCCCAGGAACACCCCCCACTCGGGAGCTTGGTGAGTGGGATGGTTTGGGGGTGTGAGGTTTGGGGGGGTCTTCTAACCTTGGGGAAGGATCACCAGGATGCTGATACAGTGGAGGCAGAGCTGTGCTCGGAGCAGGAGGTGCGGACCTGCCTGCCCGCCGTCCTGCCCACGGTCCTGGCTGCCATCCTGACCTGCCGTTCTCGCTGTGTCCCCCCAGGTTTAAGCTGCTGAGCCAGGAGGAGGGGGAGTATTTCAACGTCCCGGTGCCTCCTGAGGGAGAAGAAGGAAACGAGGAACTGAGGCAGAAATTTGAGGTGAATTGATTTTTCTTGGGATCTCAGAGGACCTGCCTGCCCGCCGTCCTGCCCACGGTCCTGGCTGCCATCCTGACCTGCCGTTCTCGCTGTGTCCCCCCAGGTTTAAGCTGCTGAGCCAGGAGGAGGGGGAGTATTTCAACGTCCCGGTGCCTCCTGAGGGAGAAGAAGGAAACGAGGAACTGAGGCAGAAATTTGAGGTGAATTGATTTTTCTTGGGATCTCAGAGGATTTCCTTC